CCAAGTGTGCAGGCGTAGCTCGCCTTATAATAGTTAAGACAATCAAAAGCACATGCACCTTCCACATCAATCAAAACAGGAATCCAGACAATCCTACCAGTATTTCCACTGAGAGAGCCTCATCTTCTGCTCTAGAGAATCTTATAATATCGTTCATAGGAAAGAACTAACACTGGTGCACGCAGCACAGCAGTGGTTGTGAAACGACATGGCAACATCTTTAGGGCTATTGATCTAATCAAACAGCAAGCGAGATGTTCTTTATATCTTCTCTTTCATATGTTGTACACGAGCTCCAAGCTACGTTTATCCAATATCAGCCATGGTTCAAGTGAACTCTTTCCTACTTACAGGTACCTTATAGTACAGAACTGAGAGCTAAGCCGAGTCTATCAGCGTCATGCCCGGAAGATCCTTCTCCCAGCCCTTTTAGATGTGCGATCTCATTAGACTTTTACAGAGGCAAATCATCGCCAAGTGTCTGATCAGGAATGGCGTTAACGTCACGAACACCATCTTCAACCTGCATCATTACCATAGTCCGCCAAGAAAAGCAGCCAATACTGACTTATCGCCACATAGGCTTATCGAAGTAAGGTAATCAGCTCATGAAATGGCAGTAGACAGCTCGCTTCCAGAATCCCCAAGAGACCTTCTTCTTTTGATGTGTGTCTCTCCGATGCACAAGCATGAGCCTTCACGTCATGGAGGGGGCGGTTTTGCAGAATACGAGCTGGACAGCACAGAAAGCCTCTAGAACCTCTCGGCGTTGTTGGGCTTGGCTTTCCGGGAAAGCGATTTGCCCGCGGGGAGAATGGTCGAGTCGAGGGCGGAAGTGGAGGTATTTATCGCCAAGAGGAAGCCAAGCAGAAGCCAAGAGACAATAAGAAATGAGCTGCAGTCTCCACGTATCGCGCCTAGAGGCTAGTTTGGTTTCCAGTGGCTTGCTGTGCAACTCGCACCTCAACAGCCGGGCCAAAGAAGGAAGGTCTGTTATTGTTTCCCGGCTACTAGATGGGGAGAAACCCAACATGGTCTGCTGGTTGCGGATAATTTATTTCACCTTTTGCTGATGGGTCAGCTAGCCAATATTATGCACTGAACACGCGTAAAGAATCGTTAATGGGAGTTAAATGCAGTCTGGGAAATGTCGGAAGTCGAGCCTGTTGAAGTCGCAGCCAGTCGGCACACGCATGGTTGCTTTCTCGGCAAAGCTACCTTAATGGCTTTAAGGTACCGAGCTTACCGATCACGTATTGGCAGCTCCCTTTTTCGGTCAACAGCTCACAGTCTCGCAGGCCAAATGCAACCCTGGGGCGATAACTCAAAAGTAGCAAGCTCCACCGCTGTCCACATAATTCTCCTATCTGGTAACCGAAGTCATCAAGCTGCATACTGCGTTCCCATCATCATTGGTCGGAAGAGATGTTGTTCCATACATGTCAGCCATTTGATGACTTTCCCATGGTCAAAGTTTGTTAAGTCCAGAAATGTAGCGACAGCACTGGCAGCGGGCGAAGAAGTCGAGGTTTCATCCATATTTTTCTCCTTCCTCCCTCGAGCTAGTCTCCGGCTTGTGCACTTGGCAGTACCTTGGCATCCAATGTTTGGCAATGCTTCATTGGAGGCCGCGCTTGACGTTGATTGTGGGCATCAACGATCATCAGGTTCGGTTGCAGTCTTGTTGTAATCCCATTGGCCGCTCGTAACTTGGGTTGGACTACCGAACGCGAAGAGCCCCTGATTTTGCGGACTGGTCACGGCAAGGTATTAACAGCGGCGGGATACTCCGTCCGGGGTCCCGGCTAATGATCTCCTAGTTGATAGATTTGAGTCGTAATCGCGAGATCTTGCTGCTTCTATCACTTCTATAGCTCTGGCGCTTTCCCCGGGCCCCGTGCGAAGGCTGGTACTAGGATGACACCACATGCAAGATGGAATAGCTCACGCAAGAACACGAGGATAATGATGTTCATGTTGATCAATTTTGAGAGCCTGCAATAGCAATAGAGCCCCGGAAAGATATCAACTAAGATAAATGCCGTTTCGGTGTCGTATGGTGTCTACATGTAAGGTAAGGTAGTGTCATGATATCCTCGACCAATGCGGGGTTGTGATAGGCAGGGCTGTCTGGCACTCTGGATGCTCACATTAGATGAGGTCTAATCTCTATCTAGTGAACGGTTGCAGAAAGTCTTAACTACCATCCTTGTTGATATCAGCTCCCTTGGCATCGGTTAGGCTTGCCTGTTGTACCTTCGGTTCTTTAGTCCCATGTCCGTCTAGGCAGTCTGGGCGACGTTCTATCTTCGTTTTTCTCCTTAGCTCAGACATGATGGGACTTTAATGCAAGTTCATCGACAAGCAGTGCGGGGAGATAATCAGCAGAGAACCATAGACGAACTCGGAGGTAAACTATAAAGAGATGTGGTTCGACCTTTAAACCAAGAGGATTTTCTGATCTCACTATCCACAACCCTATCCTCATCGACAGCCTCTGCTCTTGCGCTCCCGGTTTCTGCATTCACCATGAAGTTCTCAATCGGTGTTTCTCTGCTGGCCACCTTGGCCAGCGCCGTCAATGTTGACATGGCCAAGCGTGACACGTCCCCTCTTGACGTCAAGCTTGAGGCTATTGGCAACTCCGGTGTCAAGGCTGCCCTTACCAACACTGGCGACTCTGCCATCAAGCTGTTCAAGACAGGCACCTTCCTTGACAAGGCTCCCGTTGAGAAGGTCGAGGTTTTTGCTGCCGGTAAACCTCTTCAAGTAAATTCAAGGCTGGGCTTATGCTGACACGGAGCACTGTAGGCAACAAGATCGACTTTGATGGCATCCGTCTGCAAATTGCTACTTCCGGTCTGACCGAGGAGGCTTTCCAGATCGTCGCTGCTGGCGAGACTGTTGAGGTAGAGTTCGATGCTGCCGAGCTCCACGACCTTAGCACCGGCGGCGCCGTCGAGATCGTCACCCAGGGCTCTTTCCTCTACGCCGATGCCGACTCGACCGACATTGCCGGCGCTGTCCCCTTCAGCAGCAACAGCATCAAGACTGAGGTCAACGGCGATGAGGCTGCCTCCGTCCGCAACGCCTTCATTGAGAAGCGCACGGCCGTACAGGCTGACTGCACCGGCACTCGCCGCACTGCCACTGTAAGTCCCTCCTTCCCGCTCCGGCCAGAGCACGGACCATCTTCGGTCCGGGGCCCACTTCTGGCCCGGCTCCGTTCCGAACTAACTTGCCGGATATAGGTCAACGCCATCACCCGCTGCCGCTCCCTTGCCGTTGCCGCGTCCTCAGCTGCTGCCTCTGGTCCGGCTGCCCGCATGACTGAGTACTTCAAGTCCTCTACCACTGCTACCCGCAACACCGTTGCTGCTGTCTTTGGCAGAATTGTCTCAGAGTGCGGCAGCACTACTTCTGGTGTCTCTCGCCAGTATTGCAGCGATGTCTACGGCGCCTGCTCCAGCAACGTCATCGCATACACTCTTCCGTCTCAGTCGTACATGGTCAACTGTAAGTCTCTAGCTCTGTTTAAACCAGTCCCGTAGTTCTCGTCAGTCCACCAAGATCTAACGAAAACCCAACTCTGACAGGCCCCACCTTCTTCACCATGTCTGCGGCCTCTTCAACTTGCCATGCTCAGGACCAACAGACTACGTAAGTTTCTATGGCTCTAGCGAACTGAAAGTGACGCTGACCAAAATAGTATCGTTCACGAGATGACGCACCTGACTCAGATCAAGGGTACCTCTGACTACAACGGATACGGATACAACTTCGTCCGCAGCTTGACAGCTGCTCAGAACCTCAACCACGCTGACACTTACAGTAAGTTTGAGTCTTGTGTCCCTGTTGGCTTCATAAATCTTGGCTAGTTGGAATGCTAACGTTGCTCTTTAGCCCTCTTCGCCCAGTCTATCTACGCTGGCTGCTAAGTGTCCGGTCTCTTTTGGCGATGGGACGATGAAAAGGAACTCAAATGCCGACGTGAATCGAAACAGGCACGAGGATGCAAAGTTGGGGGGCTTCTTTGATGGATGCTGGGAACTATTCCTTGGCCTAGTTGTCATTTCGTTCCAGGCCAGAGGGCGTTCTTGTCAGTCTTTACTACTGAGCCCGTATACTGCGGATAAACGAAGATTTAACGCTTCAACCAACAAATACGTTGTCCCTGCTTTTGTGAATTGTATGATGGCATTGAGAAGCTACTATTACGCAAAGCGGTATCTGAATTACAAAACGGAACTCCGGACTTGGTATTGAGCCAACCTCTTGGCAATGTAAGAATGACTCGTCTTTTCGCTCTCAATCCGACCTTTGTAGGGAAGCCCCGTGGTGGCTCGATCCCAGTTCTTGGACGTCTATTGTCTTGGCTTCGGTGATTGAAAATGCGACCGCATCAATTCCGGGATCAGTGAAGCGAAGCTGCTTTTGAGTTAACATCGTGAGAAAACTCTAGCTTGGGATATTGTGCAAGGGGTTCACGGAGTAGCCATGGGCTCTGAGTCAGGCGTCAGTGCTAACCTGTTAAGTATTGGAACAAATGTCATAGTTAGGAGAAGCTCGTCGTAAACGCTGGGTGGCATGATGGGATTCTCGTGTTGGACAAACTGTGGCTTGTCGCTTGCGAAGGCTCAGCCAATTGAGTCCATAACCATTGGACACCTGGCGAACCACACATCACGGACAAATCCCTCCACTTACCATAGATAATGGAGCCAACGGAATTCTAGAAGACCCGAGGTCGGCGAAGTACGAGTACAACTGAACAGCTAAGATGTCAAGCCCCGCGAGTCACGATGCCTCTTTCATGTTGCAAACATTTTGGAGCAGCGCTACTTGAATGCATCGACAAATTATGGACACAAGTAGCGAGCGTCCACAGTGGAACTCTGTAAACTCCACAAGAACTAAGTTGGCAGAGAATCAAATTTTACTTCATAAATCTCCATGATCAAAATTTTAAGCATAAGAGTTGGAATGAACTCTGTCGTTACGTCATCACACTGTAAGACTCCTTTTCTTGTTTCGGCCGCTTTTGTTTCATCCCTTTTCATCTGGATTGGGGCTGGACATGTCGTTCCTTGTTCGCTTGCATCCGAATTGATTGCGCAACGTGGATTTCTCCCACGATCCTCGGACAGGAAAAGTAGAGCTCGGACCTATAAAGAGCAGCGCCAAGAATTAAGATTAATTAAAGTTGTGCTCTCCCGTCGGTCGGCTGGGCTCTGTTGGCAGGGAGAAGCCTGTCTTTTCCGTGTTTCATGACCCGTCAGCACTCGGTTCGAGTTGTCTGCAAGCTGATGACGAGGCCCATGAGCGCCACAACGTTGCAAGAAGCCTCGGAGGGATGGCCGGGTTTGCGAAAAAGATTGGGGTTTCCACAGATCCTATTGACTCGGTTTCCCGACTTGTCCATTAATCATCACAAGAGACCTAGACGGAGCAGTGGTCCGCGAGAAGACAACCCTATCCATCACTACGCCCCGGGCCCGTCTCATGCGTCATGCAAGCAACTGCCGATCAAATCGGACGCCCCCAGATTTCCCGTCACTTTGGTATTGCTGCTCTCACTTCATTAACTAGTCTTGAGCCAACTCTACTTGATGGTCCGATGGGATGTCAACTGAGACTCGACAAGTTCACAGTAGAGTGTATTGTGCATGTTTCGAACAACAACACAACCAACACCAGTAGCTGCAAACAAGCGGTCGAGACGTTGGTGCCACCACAGCATGCGACAACAACAAATGAATTAAGCCAAGCTTTAGAAGTATAGATGCGGCGCCTCCTTAAGATTCGATTGCCGCTGGCTGGGGCCACCGCGGGCACCAGGCGTTGGCCGAACGTTCAATGTGAAGCGTCGGGGGACTGCCCATGCGGACGCCCGGTAGATGATCCCGACTGCCGCCCAGGTCTGTCAGAATGGCCCAGGCTCAGAATCAGACCCGTGAGCTGTCTCGCTCCCACCAATGCGGTCGTCCGCGTTCCTGTTCCGACGACTCACCCAACCACGAGCCCCGTCCCCGATGTGACCGCCGATCCCGCCGAGACTTTTGTTACCCACCGCCCCCGTGCGAAATAGATTGTTCTGTAATCCATGTGGCCAGTCCCGGCGCTCCGCCTTTGTGGTCCGTCCAATGTTTTCGCGGCCAACCTCAATGGCCCGGGCCCACGCGTACGGGGGGACATTCTCCGTTATTCGTTATCGCCAAGACCTCAGCTTTCCTTTTACAGGAGGGAGACTTGTTTGGGCCAAATGGAAGACGCTGGAGATCGGCAGCCAGGGGTTTGGGCGTCTATCGAGTGACGACCAGGCCTCTCGGTTCTTGCTGAGCTTCGCAATCGTAACTTCGACGATTCGCGTGTAAGCTGAGAGCGAGAAGTTGGAGCCCGGAAGCAAAGCTGTCTGCAAGAGAATACCAATACTTTGGGCGTTTTCTGAGACCTCTACCGTCTTTCTTAGGCTTGGATCAGGGGTTTTGCTGGGATTATACTGTATATGGCTCTCTTCGAATGACATGGAGCTGCGGACTTGTTTGTCCACCCCCTCCTCCCCCTTGACGGGATGTCGGGCCACTGCTCCACGATGTGGGATGCCCAGCATCTGAACTTTTATCTGAGCAGATGGGTGTTGGACATGAGTATAAGAAACGCCTCGAATCCAGCTAATATCCCCTCTCTCTCAACAAGCTTCTCACTTCGTCCTTCACTTCACCCGCATTGCTCTCCAGCTCCTCCCCTTCTTTGACCCAATTCATTCTTTGCTCTGTGAGCTGTTCATCCATTCTTTCACCACTTCATCTACTTGTTTTTGACAAACAACCCACACAACCTCTCAAGATGTACACCAAGGCTTTCCTCGCTGCGCTGGTCGGCGCCACCGCCGTCTCTGCCCACGGCTACGTTGAGACCATCACCGCCGGCGGCGAGACCATTGACAACTACAACCCCACCTCTCCCTCCAACCAGAACCCTGTCCCCGGCTGGGCTGCTCAGCAGCAGGATCTCGGCTTCGTCGCCCCCGACGCCGCCGGCCAGGCCGACATCATCTGCCACAAGTCCGCCACTCCCGGAAAGACCAGCGTCAAGGTCGCCGCCGGAGAGAAGGTCACCGTCAAGTGGAACACCTGGCCCGACTCCCACAAGGGTCCCCTCATCGACTACCTCGCCAAGTGCTCTGGCGACTGCTCCAGCGCCACCAAGGCGGACCTCAAGTTCTTCAAGATCGCTGAGAAGGGTCTGACTGGCAGCACCTGGGCTGCTGACGAGCTCCTGAGCAACGACCTCAAGTGGGAGATTGCCATCCCCAGCGACATTGCCCCCGGCAACTACGTCCTCCGCCATGAGATCATTGCCCTCCACAGCGCTGGCCAGGCCAACGGCGCCCAGTTCTACCCCCAGTGCATCAACCTTGAGATCACTGGCAGCGGTACCGCCAACCCCACTGGCACTGCTGGAACCAGCCTGTACACTGCCAACGACAAGGGTGTTCTCTTTGACATCTACAGCGGCGCTACCAGCTACCCCATCCCTGGACCTGCTCTGTACAGCTCCAAGAAGCGCCGCAACCACGCCCGCGACCTCTTCATCGTTGACTAAATGGTTTCATGTTGTGTGGAAACCATGATCTGAAAGACTCCAATGTAAGCATCACTGCAGAGACAGACGGCTGGCCTGTTGAGTTGTGGTCGACTAAGGGGAAGTCGAGCATTTCGGAGAGAATGCTTTAAAGTCCGCCAATAACCCGTACTTGCATGGTTCGGACAATTTTGTTTCTTATTCACCGTACATCAGTTAGCCTCGACGATCGTCCCTCGGCACTTTGATCGAGGGGATGAGCTTCGGCTGGAGGCAACCCGTTAAACAAAGCATCGTCAGTGTATATACCTGTCTTTGGACGCATGAATAGAGATGCTCTTAGGCACCACCTGAAATTTGTTCCCTCCCTCTCTGTGAAACTATTGCGCGGTTCTAACATCCGCTGCATTGCCGCACTTGTGATTTGGCGGCTTGGCATGACACGGCAGAGAAATTTCGCGGAATTTCCACCGCGTCCCCTGATATGTGGCAGCACGCGTCTTCTCAATTTTCATGAAACTTGGAAAAACAACTTGGTGTGCACGCCTCGCATTCAATGTTGCAGCAAACGACCTCATCCCAATTTTCCACGCTGGGTTTCTGTTGGAATAGGCCTACATTAGGCAGCAGGAGGTTGCTGCCGCGGTCCGTTCCAGCCACGGTGGTCCGTGTGGCTCAGCCACACGAGGGTGGTATACCCCAGACTTCCTGCCGCCGCTGGCACCTGGTTAGACTTCCACTCAAGAAGAACAACAAGAACAAGCAATATCACCACTACAGTCGGTGATCGTTGCTACCCACGATACTCGAGTATTTTCCTTTTCCACCTGTGAATCCAACAGTTTCAATATCCATCGGACCACCATCTAATACAGATCTTGTTATTGGCGTGCAGGTGCCGCCAAAAGGCTTGGCATGCTGATCCAAACCGGCTTATAAAGCGCCTGCAAGTCATGAACTCTATCCGGGATCTGCTGGATAGCGCAAGTGCCGGCTGCCACGCGGAAGACAAAGGCACAGGGCACACTGAGCTACTTGCATAATGCGAGTCAATGCGAGAGTTTCGGACCGCCAGTAAGCGAAAGTTTGAATATTCAACTTCCTCCATGACGAGAAGCTGGAGATGCATTCATCTTCAATAGAACTTCAGTTCCGCTAATGACTGGAGATATTGCCGACATTAGGATCTTGTCATAATAGTGCATAACGTTGGTTGCTGCCCGTAATTCACGGTGCCGCTTTTGTGACAGACCTTGGGTGGTTGTACTATGGTCGTCACAGCCACATACTGAGCTACGGACATATCATGAAAGTACCTTAAGGTAAAGACATGAACAGAACAAAAGTTGGCTGAAATACTTAAAGCCCGAGCAACGTTTCATTCCATATTCAGCCACAAAGAAACGGGGTTAGTTGTCTTATATTCCCTTGGCCAAAGTCTTTCTTGTTGGGTTGCTGAATCGATCGAGTAAGAACCGGATCTCTGGAAACTCTTCTTGATAACATAAGCTGCCACGTGGTTATCCAATCTAACCTGACGGGAAACAGAGAAGGCTCAGACTTCCAGAGCTGATGTTGGTTGCATGTTCCTTTGCCGCAGGGACTGCGCCTCCCCGAGCCTTATCGAAACTTTGAGTTTTTTACCTAGTACATTGTCCGATACCGAGAACCAACGGGCAGTCGACGTTCCAGCTCGCTGGTCTTTTAGTTCGTCAAAATGTTGATGTATGGGTAATGCTGACTGCATACGAGGTAGCCACATTGGGGGTCATCATGTGTGTCCCCGAAGACCACCCTTGCGTTGGGGCTGAGTGATTTCGTTGTGATTGGTGGTACTTCCCATGTTCATTAGGCAGACATTTTCTGTCTGCCGATACGACAGCCTGATTGATTACATTGATATGGCGATCTCGAGTGAACGCTGCTCGTGCCACGGTGTGTTTTGCAAAGGCTTTTGACTGCTTCGTTTCTCCCTGCGGCATATGGAAGACAGTCTTGAAATCGCCGGTCACGTTGGCAAGATTCTTCCACAGCATTTGGAAATTAAACACAAGAATGGAAACCTTATCTTTTCACATCATCCGCCGAAGCCTAGAATCTACTTTTACGAGTGGTTCTTTAGGGTCTTGTGCATTTTTGCGATATGGGAGTCTCATATCTACCTACCAATGCTTGAGAGGGCCATGACCACATTAACATTTTCCTAAAGAGTAGCTGATATTAACGTAATTCTCACCTTTATCGTGGGGGCTTTGGTAGGCACCGAAATTTTTCTTTGCTATATTTAAACAGTGGCTTGAATGCATCAGGCTGCGTCTGCACAGTGAGTGCATCCACTCTCGACTAGCCTGGTCTGAGGGGGTGGTCATCTCAAATCCGATCGACGGGCCCGTCGGTGCAGCAGCTGAGTATGATTTCTTGACTTCTTGCGTATTTATGACCAGCAACCTGGAGCCCAATTCAACCCTCCATGGCCGCTTCTCTCAGCTCTTCCTTCTCATTTTTCGTTCTCGCGCCGCGGTAGTCTCAAAATCTTGATCGCATCTCAAATCTGTCGTTTGTTGGTACTTACCTACTTCCGATGCGATTGATCCAATCCAACAAGAGGCTGAGCGGCGTCGACTCCAGAGCATGTCGCAAAGAGCATGGAGCCGAGGAGTTCCACTCGACAACCAACCATCTCCTGATCTTCCAATCAGTCCACCACTGGACCACTATGAGATGTCACTTCGACCCATCTCTACGTTGTCACGACTGACCGACGAGGAGACATCTTGGGACAGGCCACTACTGTCCAGTCGAACCAAGAGTGTTGACGAAGAAACTCAGCGCTCGAGCGGCGGGCGGATGAGTGACTGGTCATATGCAAAAGTTACGACAGATCCCCGAGATCAATACGATGACGGGCTAGGACCTGCACAACACCGAGACAAGCAGGATGCCAGGCCCAGATTGCCCGACATTGAAGGTTCGAAGATCTCCAAACCCATCACTCGAACTGAATGGTCACGCTATTTCAACGGATGGATCGTCCACCTCCCTGCCATACTTGTAACTGTAGCGGTTCTACTCATTGGATCAATACAATTCTACTGGTACCCGGAGATAGGCCCGCTCGTCAGCGGTTACCGACTGGACACCGATGTCATCAGCAATGTGCTCCAGTTTGTAGCTAAATTACACGAACTACTCATCGTGGCATCACTATCTTCTATTGCTCTTGCGGTGTATCGAAGGCGTCTCGTCACAACTGGTATACGGTTAGGCTTTCTCACGGGAGGATACCGAGTCGGCGATCTCAACTACCTCAGAACTTCGTCATTCCGTCGCCAAGGTCTCAACAAGTCAAATCCCGGGGAGATGCTCCTTCCCGGATTCCTTGTCTTCGCCACCATCCTTTCGACCATCGTTGGACCAGCATCTGCGGTTTTACTCCTGCCTAGCTTGGGTTGGTATGAATTTGGCACAAGTTCAGCATTCAGTAAGATCGAGCCGCCTTTGCTGTACTGGTGGAATCGAAAGGCCATATGGTTCAAAGCTCCTTTCAGCGAGTACTCGGAATGCCAAGGACCTGCAGGGGTATATCGAGACTATTGTCCAGCTGGCGGGTTCTCTGAAATCTCGAGCTGGGTACGGGACTATGCCGCCACCGACTTAACCAACAATCTCACATTTCACTCCACATCATCAGAAATCAGGCGCCATTTAGTATTCACGCAAGCCGACGACAAGCCCAACACCCCCTCGACAACGCTTACCACAACCCCATCGCACTTCCTTATGACCAGTATTGGCCTCTTCCAAAAGTTCATCCATAGCTCCGACGTTGGCGCCCTATCCAGCGAGCCGCGCTATCGACTTACAGCCAAAGGAGGCGCCAATGTCAATTCACCTACTGGAGAAGGGACAGGGTTGTATCAGCCATTTGTACAATCCAGATGTACGATACACGATAAAGGGTACTTGGAGAATACTCCAGGATCTGTCAGCTTTCCAACTGAGTTCCTCAACTGCTTTGATGACGCTGATTGTCTCCAATCCAAACAAACCCCTATGCAGTTCAACGAGTCGGCATGGCTGCACAACGAAGACCTCGAAAACATCTCAGCCTCAAGCACTTTCTTTTTGGGCAAAGAAAACTCAACTGTGGTGCACCTGAACGGAATGATCCCCGACGCAACATCGGGGGAATCGAGAAACTTGGTCTATATTTGTAGCTTGTATGCAAGCTGGGCGCCGTCCAACTTCTCAATGGATCCGAGCATCAGTGACAGTCTTCAATCAACATTTAGCAGCGACAGAAGCATGAGAGACATGTATCACAGCAAGAGTCACGACGATATCCGTGTCATAAGATTCAGATCGAATTGGTTCAGATCGCTCAACCCACACTGGAATACCTCAGCCACGGCCACCACCTCGGGTATCAATCAAATTATCCTCAACTTTTCCATGGACGAGACACTGAATGGGAAAGAGGTGAAAGTTTTGGCCCCTGTCGATGGTGCGAATAACACAGCATCAGAAATATTCCTAGCCAAAGTCTTTGGGGTTTACCTTGCCGAGGGCCTGGCACGGAACAGTCTAGAACAAAGGACCAGGATCAAGCTAAACAGTACCGACACTGAGGTGACTTATCTCGACTTGAACGAGCAACATGGCTACCGCGGAGGTGTTCACAAAATTACACCTCACAACAACACACATCTTCAGGATGAGTGGAGGGACAGGACGACCTGGCGCAACACAACTTTTGCAGATTTCACTGAAGTGCTCAACACAGCTTTACCGATTAATTTTACTGCGGAGCGCTACGGATACGGTTCAGGACAAGGCCGCAAAACGTTGGAATTTGCCCAGGTGATGATGCTGATCTACCTCGGCATCATTGCCTTCTACGCCGCGACAGTTGGAACTGGATACGTGCTGGAGCTTTTGAAGGTCAATTCAGGTGGAGAGCGAATCCGGGTCTTGAGCGTGATACCATGGTCAGATTTGCAAGATTTGATCATACTCGCACTCAAGACGCCGCCTCCAACTGATGACGATCTGACTGCTGGGGCTGGTGTCACCTCTGACAAAGTGTGGGAGAAGGTAGTGAGAGCGGAGTCTGACGATAAACGCAATATTCAACTAGCATTTAAGGAGACAACACATACGAGGAAGCTAGATGTTAGTCGGAAGGAGCGGTATTATTGAGAATTACCTTTATTGGTTTTGTTTGGTTTTACTTTTTTTATTTTTTTAGCAAGGTTTAGGTATCATCTTGCTCTTGAAATCTGAGTTCCTTTCCCATATCATTTCTAGATACCTTTACTCTAGCTCTTATTAGCTTATGCAGACACATTTTAGAAGCCTCAAGGAGTACATCCACGCTGAAGTTGTCACGAGTTATGGCACGCAGCAATGGGCATATGAAGTGTGGTAAAAGTGGCTTGTATTAACCCAAATAGAATCGAGCAAGGAAAGGTGCTATATCCCATTGACTGCTGCTTAACGTCAGCGGAGTCGGATCCATAATAATACCCGCCTTTACCCCGCACTTCAATCGGTACAAGACGAAACATCATTTACCCCTATATTTTTTTTGACTTCTATCACCACCAAAACCATCATTTCAACCAATGTTACGATGTCTTCTAGTGATTCTGATGCTTCCGATGCCTCTATAGCTACCAATACCTCTGTACGGAGCTGTATATTTGTTGAGATCCTTCCCGAAGACCTTGAAGTCGGCTGTACTGCCGACTGTACGCCGGAGAAGTACGATAATAGCACAGTCCGGCCCCATGAGCCTCCGGCTGAGCCTGGCTTGCCCGGCTCCTTTATACCTTTTGATATACCGGCCCGGGACCAGCAAATACAGGACTTACCGCAAACGCCGATTAATCTTTTCCTTCGATACGTTCCCCGGAGCCTTGTTGAGCAGTGGGTCCGGTGGACAAATACAGCGCCGATTTCTAAGGAGGGCCCTCAGCCTAGACACTCTAGAGTGTATAAGTGGAAAAAGACCTCTATAGAAGAGGTATACCTCTTCTTAGGAATCCGTATTTATATAGGAATCCATAAGGAATATGAATTATCAAGATACTGGGCAACTCAGCAAGAGAAAGAGGACCCTATTCATCTATTTACCCGGTTTATATCCCGTGACCGTTATCAAATACTATCCCGGCAGCTCCGGATATTCGATACCTCTGAGTTCCCTAGTTAGTCTAGCTATGGCCGGTGCCGACGCCGGCCCCAGGATAATCTAATGCCGGATACGTATCGGAAGGTTAACGGGTGGTCGGCCCATATCTAGGATACCGGGGACTCCTTCTATACGGCCGGCTCTGACCTTACCGTTGACGAGGCTATGGTCCGTTTCACAGGCCGGTCCCTTGAGACAACAACAATCCCGACTAAGCCGATCCCGACCGGCTTCAAGATATGGATTCTTGCCCAATCATGCTACTGTCTCCGGTGGCTCTGGCATATCCACGGAAAGGGCCCGTACGGGCTAGTCCCACAGGCCCGGCCAGCGCCGGATGACGAGGCGGCAAAGCAGGCCCTTTTAACGCCAACGCAACGGGTTGTAACGACCTTAGTTACCCTACTTCCGGCAATAATCTACTACGTCTTTCTAGATAACCTCTTTTCTTCTGTCCGGCTCTTCCGGGCTATTCGGAAGCAGCAAGTCGGAGCTTCTGGCACTTGCCGGAAAGACAGCGGGATAGACAAGATCCTTGTTGCCGAGAAAGCAACTGAAGGACAAGATATCCCTTGGGGTAAGATACATTATATTCCTACTTTAGATGGGAAGGCATAGTGTTATAAATTACCTTTTAAGGATTTTTATATTAATTAGTTCTTCTAGCTCAACCAGTGTACCTAGAAAGATAATGCTATTGTACTCTTCTTGACAACGGTCTTCCGAGAAGGCCAGGATATTATCCGGAGCCGGCGCCGACCGACCGGAGATACTATTATAGAGCGGGCTACCCGGAAAGTCTTCGGCGCCGACGTCCGGAAGAACCTGCCAGTGCCGGCACCAATAGATAAGTATAATCGTAAGATGAACGGCGTTGATATTAGTGACCAGATGAGGTCCTATTATCAATGGGGCCACCCTATCCGGCGAGGGGGCTGGCAGGCAATTGCTTGGGACTTTCTGCTAGAAGTGATAGTTGTGAACAGCTATCTGCTGCAGCTCTGGGGCAAGCCTAGTTGGCAATCTATTAAAAAGCAGTATCAATGGCGGCAACTGCTTGCAGCCCAGCTTATCCAGCAGTTTGGACCATTAGCAGGAGGTCGGCAAGGATCACGACCTAAGCAAACAAGAGATAAAAGGAATACCTCTATTCCTTGGCAGTACCATCGCAAGGGATCGAGAAAGTCCTGCTCGCCTTGCTTCTATTGTAGTTGTTGGAACAGCAAAGGCTGATAAGGAGTAATAGGCAGGTACCATGGGCTGGCTGGCACCTGCCCTGGGCGAAGTGGGACAACTGGCTTAGTCATCACGGCCGGATAAAGGTGGGGCAAACACCCAGGCCGTCACTACCTACTTCGACCGACTCCTGCCTACAATGTAAGATAGAAGAACAACAAGAAGAACAAGCAATAGGATCACCAACAGACGAGTGATAATTGCTACCACTATTTGTCGTATACGACCCCGTGAACCAACAGTAGTAATATAATAGCATTACGATCCCGCCAGACTCTAGGCAAGATATCTGGTAATAACCTTAGAAAGCTGCGAAGGTATACTCAAAAAGGCTGCTTAGATTATAATATATCATTATGTACCGACCGAGAATGCTGGTACCTTTGGCATAACCCAAATATATAGACAATATAAGTACCTTAAAACGTGCCTAATTATTGGCTGACACAGATGAGCCTGTATGCCCTTATTGGCTGTACCCCGCACAAGGGCTCCGCTGACGTTAAGCAGCAGTCAATGGGATAGGAACAAATGAGAGAATCACGTGACAACGCACGTGTAGGGCTGATTACAGAGTGCTGATGCTATTCCTATTTCGTGACAGAAGTCTATCGCAAATACCGCCGGAGAATGCGAAACGTAAATGCAAAGCTACTTTAGCGTACGATAATCTAATTTCTACCGGAGCTCAAATCTCACGAGGTCAGTTCGAAGTTAACGGTCGCAATGGCTTAGTCCCGTGATCAAGCCGATTTTGGAATTGATGTATCAGAGTTAGGCCCAGCTGGAAAGCTCCGAATTCCATCGAGGCTCAATTACCCCAACATCATTCCAACAAACAACCCGCTAAGATGTTACTGACTTACTCAGATGAATTTGTCGTCTCGTGCCGATGTAAGAACAGGACTCTAACTCCAAGAGCGGTTCTTTCAAGTTGATGATACCCTAAAGTACGTACAAAGTACGTGTTCTGGTGCTCGGTTGAGCCGTGACGTGGCCGACGGCAGTTCCGGCGGACGAGGGCAGAAGATATGTCACGAATCAGCATATAGAGTAGCTCATGGAAATCGGGATCTCAACTGTGGTCCAATCAACTATTGAAAGGGGAAAAGGGAAGCCCTCGAGGGAGCCTCTCTTGTATGCCCATACCCCTGTCCACCCCTTATCTCTACCCCTGAGATATCCACTGCTATCTATACCTCTTTCGTGGCAAGATACATCGCCAAATATCTGCCCAGAGGACATGGTCATGAATACTGGAACCCTATCCATTTATCAGCGCCTGACGTGCTTACCATGGAGTCGGGCGTGCTAGCTCACCTTTTAACTTTGGGGGACTTAATCTGGATAGTGGGAACCATCGCTGGGGCCGTCCCGATGATTAAGATCGTCTGCGTTAGCTTCCTTTCTTAGCTCTCGTCGGTTGACTCGGTATAATGCAAGAGGATAGTGTTCAAGATACGCTTTGACGAGTTGTTGAGTCATGTCTTTCATCCGTGTGTGGGTTTAACGCCGCTGACATTTTCAAAGGAGTCGATTGAGAGTGTGTAAATTGCCAAGAATGGATGGATGAAGTTTCTTTGAAGCTGCCCTGAACTCTGGTAGCACCGTTGCACTGAACCGGCACTCGGATATTCTGCCCGTCAATAATCTTTCCAGCTCCCCGGAATGGCGCGATGTCCATATAAAAGTCCCATATTTTCACCGCATTTCCCCGCCGCTGAATGAGTGCGACTGCGAACTGTTGATCAGCCGAGTCCACGTATTGTCGGATCAATTGAATTGCAACAGTGCACGTGGGCCATTTTGAGTGTGAATGGAAACTGTGATATGGGAACTCCGAAGGTTGTATAACTTGTATTGAGTTTACACGTATTTACTAGGTAGCCAATCTAGCTATCTTTAGACCGAGGCTTTTGAGATCAATGGCAAAGGCAAAGATTGTCCCTAAGTGTGGCGCCGGGAGGATCCTTGTGTCAGAACGATAGCTTGAGCTTTGGACAAGGGAGCCGCGTAGCTGGACCTATCACCTTGTGACTGAGGCTTCAGAAGCCATTGGTTGGCAGTTGGCAACTCCGAAAAGCGAGTTGTAAAGAAAACCTCTCCTAGGTGTATGCATTTGACTAGTAGTCTTGTGCTTAGATATTAGTGAGAGAATTTCCAAAGCCGAGGCAGTTGGCCAAGCACAGTCAATCAGGTACTCGGACCCAATAAGTGATGAACCACTCCGCTTACCCCGAAGAAATCTGGCATGTGCATCCTCCGGTATTTTCGAAGTTCGTACCCATTGGGGCTGTTCTGGTTCTTGACACGTCCCTAGCGCGTAATGTCATGTAATTCTCCACGGACAGAACATGCAACTGTGCAACACCACACTTTTGTTCAACACAGGGTCTTGAAACCGGCCTGAATACTGCCCATCGGGAAGGTGGGAGTTACGTATCGTGTCTTTGTCCAAGTTCAGTCGTTCCATCTTCGTCCGAAAAGAACCCCATCAGACGTCGTTCGTCCAAGTCATCTCGACACTCTGTCCGCGTGGTGGCAGCGTGGGCAGCGTGGGCACGGATCGCTCGCACCTGTCGCAGGTTCAAGCCAAGCCCTGCCACACATCCATCCCCCTTTGAACGACCGACCCTTGCTCGCGATGAGGAACATAAGGCGTATCACATATTGAACGCCGCGCGCACGCGATGTTCTAACAAGCTTATACAGACGATCAAACATGGGAGGCCACGGGTTTGGTTCTTGGGGTGGCTATGATGTGCAACATTTTATGACAATCTTCGGGGGAAAAGGCTTGAGCATTCTCATAATCGCCGCGCGTTATTACTCGTGTTTCCTTGTCTCAAGTTTCGTGCCCAGCCACGAGGTTTGGGCCGGCTAACGTGGAGAAATATTTGACGTGACTTGTACCGGTCGGACGGCATCGTGATACCCGGGCCATTTGCC